ATTCTGAATGAGCTACATGCCAAAAAGGAGCTGCAGGATTTATCTGACTGGAAGAAAGTCAAATCTTTTTGAGAGTTCAATTCTATGCTGAACATTATAACAAACAAAATTTTAGAATTGAAAACCTCTGAATGCTTTAAAATCACAAACCAATTTTTATCATCACACTATGTGTAAACCCTACCTCCAATTTGCCCTATCATATAGTAATTATATGGTTTGCAATGCTTTCCAGAGATTTATGGTTTATGAATTGTGCGAAACAAATGGAAATCTCCCATGCAATCACACAGAGAACATACAAATTCTATGTTGTCAACAATGGGAGCTAAACCTAGGACTCCAGTACTACAAAGGCACTGTGATACAGTAACTATAAGACACCACACGGCATCATTTTAGTTACAGGGGCTTCCACTATCGGTGAAAAGTAGAAAAACTTGTCGGGTCTACTGAAGGGTTGTCACATTTGTATTCTTTTTTTTCCCCAAATAAAAACAGAGATAAAAGAGACTCTGTGATTACCAAGAGCATGTTCACCTACCAGTTTGTTAACATACCAGTGGGCAGTCAGAAAAATCTAGAGCTTATCTAGTTCAAAAGTTCATTGCACCAGTGTTCTCAGATTTCTGTAGCCAACTGCCCAAGATAGAGAACAGAATCCTTTTGTCACAGGGGGTCCTGGGTGGCCTGTAGTTTTTAAGCCAAGCCAAATGATTCCCCTGAATATGATATACACAATTTATAGCCGTGATTGTATACTGTACACTGCCTCTAGTATAAGTCAGTCCAGGTATGACTAGAGGAAACATAGTTCCATAAAAATGATAGCTGGGGTTTTTTTTATAGATGGCAGGGTTCCTCTAGGGAGAAACAAGATGAGAACGTGCAAGCATGGTCACGGTCAGAGCTAGCCAAATCAGCAACTAATGTCAGATAAGCAGAGAGCAGTTGGTAACTCAGGTCCAGCCCATGATAGCAAGCCAGGTCAAGTGCCAAAGATAGGAATGTAAAAGTTGCATACATAATACATTGAATGTCCGCCTTTAAGTTTTTCCTTTATTTATAGAGTAAATACCTGGTGATCTCACATGTTCATGGCCCTTCCCCTGCAGCAGGACAACACAAATTTGCCTGCATTCAATTCACTGCAGCTTTGTTACTGCATTCAGCAGCATCCTAAGGAATGCTGACAAGAAGGAATATTGATTTGCTCCACCAAGTTAGGAGGGGGGATGCAAGAGGGCATCATGCATCACTTTCTCCATACACCGAGTGCCCTCTTGAATATCTACTCTTCGCTCCAGGAAACAGACCTGGTGGTTCCTTTGATGACATCAACGAGTAAAACCGTGGATTTCTATACTCTCAGATCGAAAAAATAAAACAGGATGGCATCTACTGGAGGAGAGGGACTTGCCTTTGAGAAAACCACTCTTTGTATAAAGAGGTTTATAGAGAGTTGCTTATGGGTTAAATCATCCAATAGCTTCTCATACATTTCAGGGGAGACGGTCTTGAAATCTACCTGCTGGATTTCAACTCTTGCCTCAGAAAAAAAATCTGTTCTTATTCTTCAACTTTAGAAGTAAAACATAATGAAATATGCAAGTGGTGCTCTCTTGTAATGGTCAAGGCAATTGGGTGGTGTTCAGAAGTAGAGATATTAAGGTCCCAAAGAGATTTATGTCTACTGGATGGATATCTATCAAAACTAAAACCTTATTTTTGGTTGGACAGGCTTCCCAATGACATAGTTTCATTTTATTTAATATAAATTACTTCACATGTTAACTGATAAAATGGTTGTAGTTTGACTAAAACTACGGGATGCTATACTAATCTGTAGCTGTAGTAAAATTAGAACAGTTTCTCACAGCATTTTGTAGAGTGGCTCCATCTGTTTATATTTTTCTGGATTTAATTATTAATGGGTGTGGGTTGTTGTTCTCCATATGTCATATGTGAAATATCAGTCAAAGCTACAAAAACTGTGATAACAAGATTTGTTCATTTTCAAGTACTTGCTTTTTTGTATTGTATTTAAAATTCCAATAAGCATCACAAAATATTTTAATTAGCGATATGTGCCTTGTATATAAATATAGCTTCCAATATACAAAGCTTTTTTTAAATATATTGCTGCTTACAAATCTTTGGATTTCTTTGTTTTCCTTATTTTTACCTAATGATCCTGCAAATAACACACTTCTTGTTCCTGGGTGGCTATGCTCACTACTTCACGTTACCTATCGATTATGGACATAATTGTCACACAGGCTGGACTTCAAACATGTCTGCCTTTTGAAAGATGCATGTAGATCAGGAAAGTTAGTAAGCCTTATCTACAGTACATACTTGTCTCAACAACAACATAACAGCCAGTAATCTAATGTTTTCATCAGGCGACATGAGCAGTGGCAGCATTGATATTTCCTCTGTACTGGTTCCCTCTGTCAGGGACATCTTGAACGCAAGGTGGATCAGACAGGGAAAGCTTGAGTTTGTGAATTTCTCGTACCGGGATGGAAGTGATGATGTGAACACTTTCTACTTTAATGTGAAGACAACCATTGTCCATGCATGGAAAAGCCACAGATTCACTTTAATGCCCCCCTCCACAGCATCATATACTTACCTTCTTCTTATCCTCCTGCCACTTCTTTCATCAGAAGTGTAAAAAAAGCTCTTCATAAGCCCTGAGTCACCCTAGTAGAAGCTTAGGACTATCTAGTAGGAGTTTAGGGCTTTTTTCCATCCTCCATTTGGCAATGCAAGGCAATGAATCAAGTCCCTGTGCTGTCACATAGAAGGGAGGGGAGTGAGTCACATGCTCCTTCAAAACGTTTCGGGTATCTTCTTCTCTTCCAGTGGCTAATCTTACCGGCGGGGGAAGAAAAGGAAAGTGAGTATATTCTGCAGGGAAGGGAGGCAATAAAACAAACCCATTGCATGGCCCTACATAAGCAAAACACAATTTTGTTTGAGCAGGCAGTGATTTGTTATACTATATAAACATACATATAAGTGAGTATTGTTTTACCAAACAAGATACAAATTGCCTGCTTGCATTCACATGATTTGTAATTACTTCATCAGCAAATGTTAAATAAGACCAGGAAGAGGAAGAATGGAAACCATCTGAACAAGGTCTACAATTATATACAAGTGGTACTTACAATAAAATTAGATTGTCTTGCTGATATAAACTTCACTTCACTTAGTTTCACTTCAAATTGGGGTTTGGTGAGGGAAGGAGGCTTAAGATGTAGGAATGCAAGCCAGGGTTATCTTCGAAGCTGGCATTTAGATTCCAATTTTTTTGGAGGGAAAAAACAATCCCCTCTGGGTGATCAATGAACGTTGCAAAGATTTTAACCAACTTAGTGGCAGTTTCCTACCTGTTTTTGTTCTGAAGAAAAATCAGTTTGCTGCAGCACGTCCATGTCCAAACTGATCCTTGAATGGGAGGGTGTGGGATCATTTTTAACCAGCTGGTGGGCTTCCTGGGTTATAAAAGGGAAGGTAGCAGTGTCTGCATCAGTTTAGTAGTAATTAACCCATAGGGAGTATCTCACCAAAAATGAAATTCCTATTGCAAGGGAAGCCAAAAGTTGTACTTGTATCTTAATACAGACTTCCGGGTTAAATCAGTCAGCCAAATATAGAAGCAGGAAGTGACATTTCTGGGGGTGCTTCGTACACCAAGTGTGTACAGAATGCCCCCGGGTGACCATATTTAATTTAATTTTTGTTGCAGATTTAGAACATTTAAGCTTTTTTTTTGTTTTGCTTATTACATACACAGGCTTTGTTTCTTGCTTTCCAGTGGCACTTAAAGTGTAATTGTAAGTGTAAACTTGGTGCAGGTAGGCCCCTCAGCTCCCCTTCCAGTCTTTTACTCACCTTACTCTGATCCAGTGAAGTATTGCTCACTAAATTCCATGGCCACTTGTCAAAATGTTCATGGCTGGGCCAGTGCATGCACTTTCATTCCTTCGCATGGACTTCTGAGCTCTTTTGACACCGTTACACTTTAACAGTGGAACTTTACCGTTCTATCACACTTTACATTTGCAAGCAAATTTGCTCATTGTTAGAGTTGAACCCTTTTACTGCCACCAACATATGTCATATGTCGTCGGGAACAGCGGGCCAAACTCCCTGCGGGTATAGCTTATTAGTCTAATAGACCCCTTATGTCTTCTTAAAGAGCACCTGTCGCCACTAAAATGCTGTTACATAGGGGGCTTGTGATGGCAATAAGGTTGAGTAAAAAAAAAAGGTGCTAAAAATGGAATAAAAAAAAATGTAAACACACCCAAAGAAAAATGTTAAAGTCCCCCGCCCCTGTGTACATGCACATACTAACGCAAACACACGCTGGCCACACATGTCAGGTATCGCCACATACGCCAGAGTGAGAGCAATAATTCTAGAGCCAATATTTATGGTTTACTCTAAAATAATGGCCTGCACAGGCTTTGAAAGCATCCCCTATGAACAATTTAGGGTACTGTTTTTTTTTCCCCGCTGCTTCATGAGCACACAACATTTTTAAGCTTGGCATGTTGGGTATCTATTTACTCGGCACAACCTCCTCTTTTATATTTTAAAAAAAAATAGTATTTTACATTGTTTTTCTGTGCACTAAAATAAACGTAAGTGTATTTTTTACTGAAATTGTACCTGCTATTAGTACCTCTGGTAGGTCTACTCAAAAAGCAAACAAACAATACCTAATTTTATTTAACATTGGAACAGGATCGGGGTTCAGGTTGTTGAATGTGATTTGAAATGGCACTCATTGAAAATCACAATGAGGGCTGTTTCTTATCTACCTATGGAGCAGTAACAAGCACCCTGATTGTTCAGCCATTTTCTAATTAGTTGCAGCCATTACATCTAAATCGTAACTTGGGCATTTGGTTTCCCCAGTGTTGATGGTTCAAACACATTATAAGTATACTCAGCCCAATTTTTCTTTTCTTTCTTTTCAGTTTGAAGACATTGGAAGTTTTGAGACCGTATGGCAAGTAAAGTTTTACAACTACCATAAAAGAGATCATTGCCAGTGGGGCAACAGCTTCAGCAGCATTGAATATGAGTGCAAACCCAACGAGACCCGAAGCCTAATGTGGATCAATAAAGAGATGTTCCATTGAAGCCTACTAAGCTGGACAATTTTCTAATGAGCTAATCAACCTGACCAGCAGAATGAGCCTAAGAAAGCCACATATTAGTGTATATAGCATATCATGAATTAAGAGCAATCTTAATGATTTAGTGTTTACTTAAAGTGGACTTTCCTGCATAGAGTGGAGGCAGCTATGTGACTGGAAAACAGTAGTGACCATAGTAATTGACCCCACCAATGGTCCCACAGGTATATTGTGGTGTCTTACAGTGTTTCAGCATTAATTCCTAGTGAACTGACAGTTAAAAAATGCCAAACTCCACTCTGTGTTGGTGATATGTACACTTTAAATGACTGAACATTCTATATGAAAATATGTTTATATCATATATTTATGTTTACAAGTGTAGTTGAATATCTATTATTTTTGTAAATATTGTGCATTTAATGTAATTGCTTTTTAGATTTAGAGAATTCAAGGGTCATTTGTTAATGGGGTGCCAAACTAGTAAACTTGTCTTTTTGGGGGCTTTTTCAGATAGCTGGTGACTGGTTGACCGGCTAACTACTTTTAAAACACTAAGTTGCACAATTTCATCATCAGTCTGATTAAGCCCTTAAAAGGTTAATCCACGTAAAGAGCATATCATATTTTTTTTTAATATTACTTAGTCTGATTGTGTGTTTTTAAAGTGAAAAATGGTTTTTGACTGGTAGCCTTTAGTAAAACACCCCTTTTAGTATTGTATCTATTTAAATTTTAGGAACCAGACAAAGATCCTCAAAAATGAAAATGTCTAAAAGAAGAACTGATTGGCTTTTAGGAACCAAGGATGTATTTTTTAAGATTTCAGAGCCCCTGTCATAAGTACCCCCTTTCCCATACTATCATGATAGTTAGCGTGCCTGCTTCCTTTAAAGATGTACGGTAACAGCAAATTCACAGTTATCTACTACTGTTTGTAACCCTGAGCGAGACCAGTTCCATGTGTCTCGCTTACAGATGTAGGGGCTAGAAAAGGTCCATGTATCTCATGGACATTTAATATGTAGGACTAGTTCAACAGGTCTTGTAGGCATTCATGGTACAGGCAGGACCAGTTTCAAGTATCTCTTAGACATTCTTGATTCAGGGCCAGTTCCATGTGTCTTGTGGACATACCTGCAGAAGGATAAGCCAGCAGCACACCAGGGTCCACGTTATCTTGCCGTAGTTTATTAAAGTCAGATAAACATGGTATCACATATACAGTGGATGCAATGTTTCGGAACCGTATGTGGTTCCTTCATTAGGCAAAGGAAAGTGTGACAACCTGTGTAACCAACATAGTACATATATACAGTGACAAATGATAAACCAAATAATGTGGACTACCACCCTCCAAATATTTTTACATTGTGAAGGGATCTGACTATGGCAGAGCTGTCATGGGATTCACAGTGACGCCAATGCTACACTTACACCTACAAATCTATGGGGTGGGGATCCACAGTGATGCCAAGAGCAGAGTCCTGGTCACTTAGGCAACACAGACCCGGACAAATAATTCACTGGTATGTGCCACCAGTCTTTATTAACCCTTCACTATCCTGCCAACAGATCCATAGCATTGCCACCATGTGTCTCGTGGACATTCCTGCTACAAGACCAATTCCATGTGCCTCATGCAAATTCATAGGACAAGATAGATTCCATGTGTCTTGGTGACATTCATGGTGTAGACCCAGTTCCAAATGTCTTGGGTACATTCCACAAGAAATCTGGAACTGTTTCTGTACAATAAATGTCCTCAAGCTATCTGGAACTAATCCTGCACCTTGAATGTCCACACAAGATACATGGAACTGTTCCTACACCAGTATTTCATGTGCACATTATGCTGCAGGACCAGTTCCATGTGTAATGTAGACATATTTTCCTGCAAGAACAGTTCTATGTGACTCATGTGGACAAATATGAAGCAGTCTTGTGTGAATAACATATATACCGTGTTTCCCCGAAAATAAGACACTGACATATTTTTTGTGGCTCAAAAAAACACTCTAGGTCTTATTTTCGGGGTAGGTCTTCTTTTCTTTTTTTTTTATGTATAACAATCCAAAGTTATTGCAAATCCAAATTAAATCATCCAAAATGGCAAAGTTAAGAATAATGTGATCAGGGCAATCAGGGGTGTCATAGCTTTCCAAGAGCAATATGGTAACCAGAATGAGCGAAGCGCACTTTCACTATAGATTCCTCACAGGCGAAGTGCATTTGGTATCACTCCGCCTGTGACAGGAGCCGGCGCTATAGAGGAGGCATAAGCTTATGCGGCTCTGCTCCTTTCGCTGCCGCCTCGCTTCCTCTAGTGCTGGCTTCGTTGGCACCGCTGATTCTCTCCCGCAGATCTTCAAGTTCCCCCTTATGCCACCAGTGGCCCTGGAAATGGTCACAACTAGGTCTTATTTTGAGGGTAGGTCTTATATTTTAGCAATTCCCAAAAATAGTACTAGGTCTTAATTTCAGGGTAGGTCTTATTTTCAGGGAAACAGGGTAGTACAAAATCAAGAAAATGCAGTCCTAGTGGTTTTTTTAAAACTGTGAAACATAAGTGTATGCCGTAATAATATGTAGTTATGTGAATTGGATTTTATGGGCTACACAGATGTTTCTTCTTTGAGATACTTTCATTTCATGAGGCTATCAGTAAATTGTGAAAGTAACCGTGACACCTTTGAAATTATCTGCCTTTATTTAGCATATGTTCAAGAGGAAACTATGATTAATATGTTTTACTTTGTGCCTTTACAATATATTGTAGTGTTTGAAGACTATGTAAGATTTTGTAGACAAATATCTACGCACTGTTTTTTTCTATTTGTTGAGAAATAGGAAGGTATTTTGTTTTCTGCAGGTCCTTCAACATGACCTAATCAATACGATACAATATACACTGCTCCTCAACAACCCTCTACTTTTTGATTAAATCTATAGGACATCTAAAAGGATTCTTTGAGGATAGAAGTATGCATTGCTGAAGGTGTAGGTCCAAGGCTGCCATTTTTATTCTGACTTCGCTACATAGTCAATAAGCAAGAACCAGCATGCATCCAAATTAGGTCTGAATTTCTATCCTGCATGCTTGTTTCAGGTCAGTCAGGCCAGGATTAGGTCAGCAATGACAATTGCCAAATTTCTATCTTGAAAAGGTAAGTTCTTGTTTAAAGGGAAACTATCATGGTTTTAGTGAATTTAATTTTTTAAGTTTTTTTAAACAAATGTTTTAGACTTGTTCTCAGAACAGTAGGGGCTATCTAAAGGGAGAGCACAGCAGAAGCTGCCTGCCTCCAGGCTTGCTCTATCTAATTGAAACCTCAGACAAAGA